TTCAGCAGATTGATTTCTTAATGACTGAGGCTTGATACTGTGCTACTCCACACACTATTGGACATGCTGTAACATCTTCAAGCAGAGACATTCTAAACCCCTTACCTCAAATGTGACATGCAGCCAGACTGTTTCGTCTGGTTTGACCCAAGTTTGCCACCTACTGGTCAGAGCGCTTATTAAAACCCAACGTTCATTTTCTTTTGTCCTCTGCTTGATCTAGCAACTGGGCTACCTACACTCTGGAACAGTGAATACCAGCCCTCCCCAATGCCATTAAAAAGCCAATATTTACTGTGCTGTTACTTGAGAAAGTTCAGTTAGCTCCTGTCTGCAGGAACTAAAAGCCCATGGAACAAGATACCAAAGACGAGTAAGCATTGTAACAGCCACCCACGTAACACCGACACGCATTTTCAATTATATAAGTCTGCAGTTGGGATAAAGATGAAACTCACTGGACTTATCCGTTTTATATGTAACAGAAGTATTATGGTGATGCACATTATATTTTCCTTGCTGCTGGAAGCAACAATAGGAATCCTGCTGGTGATCAGCTTTTTCCCCCCCTCACACTGACACTGGAGATTGAATCATTCCAACCAGAAAGATTAGAAGATTCACTACAACTGAATTCAGTTTAAAGAAACTGCTCCAAGTCTTGCAGATTAAACTCAGCTGCTCAGTAGCATAGCGCTCACTTTCAGACCAGCAGAAACTCCCTTGTTATTTTCTGTGCTTGGCCAGTAGAGGGCACTAACAATCACTGTCTACCCCTTTCCAAGTTATATGGATGGCATCCAAGCACTTAAATATGCTTCCCTCCCATCCCAGCTGCCCAATGTGTGTATATATAACATACAGAGATTTAAAAATACAACTTGCCTGTGGCTAGCGAGCTTTTCCTGCAAGGACAGCTTTCCACTCACCTACAAGAGAAAAAGAGTCTTTTTGGTTTTATTTAAACAAACTGATGTCTTGCCAGTAGAGTTCAGCTGGTATTTAGAGCACTACTGTAATGGTGATAGAGGAGATACTGGAAAAATATTTTAATCACTTTGAAAATTACTTCTTGAGTCCATACCACTTCCATTATTATGTGAGTAAAGCTAATGTTAAAAGTAAATACCTTTATAAACAAACATAATAAAACTATCTGAAAGTGCAGGACTATCTAGTATCATTATTAGACAATATAAATTTTAAAATAATTTTTCCTTACAAACATATTAATGACAACTAAGTTTTAGAACAAGCAGCAGAAAATTTGGTCTGTCGACATTTTGATGTTTAGATCTATATAGTGTATAGTGCTTCATACCTACTCCTGGTTCCAAAGGGTTAATAAGACTAATTATCATTTGATGACAATCATGATTGTAAAATTATATGAGTATGATTTACAAAATATACACACAATTATATACATTTTTAAATAATATGATATAATTAAAACTATATACTTGTAAGTCAGTCCAACATGAATTACGCTAACTATCCAAGAGTTGGATTTTGTTGTGCATCTCCCATACAGTGAAGTGGATTTGTCTTATTACAAACTAGGGGGAAATTGGACTGATTATGCTCTGAAAGCCTAGAGCATATTTTTTCTACTTATTTACTTGTGCTACTACAAAATAAGTATGCAATGAGAACAGTCAGAAGAACTCAACATACTTTCCATCTAGTTTCATCGGCGTATGCAAAGGTGCCATCCAAAGATTTAATAGCTGTCTGTCCATGGTCCTTATGAGAAGGTAGGATGGTAGCTGAAACACAAAAATACTTCATGTTAACGAGCCCCACATAAAGAGTTATTCCTAACTAGTACTGTTTTGAGTAGGTAGTCAATAGTCAGCAATTTACTGAATGTGTCTGCCATTACAGTTGCCTTTTTCAGCTTATCAAACGTTTGGAGTTGTAACATGCTGTACAAGTACTAATACAGAGCACTTTAAATGGCTTTGGATGTTTTCCTTTATTTGAATAAAAAGAAGTCCTGTTAACTTCTCTAGCCTCTTACCTTTACTATCCTCTCTAGATACAGGATAACTATTTTCCTTGCCTCCTTCTAAGCATTTCTTTTTAAGAGAAGAATTTGCATCCTCTTCATGTAAACGTTCGTACCCATGTCGTCCATGCTCCTCAACTGGAGTGTCATCTGTAAGATCGGAGTCCTCTTTCTTCTCCCATGTCCTGTTCATCTCAGAGTTACCCTGCTTCTGAGCATGAGGATCTGCATGTTCAAAGAAGCCCTCAGATCTCTTTGCGTGCTTTTTCTTCTTTTTCTTCTTTTTCTTATGTTTGTAAATCTCAGCATCGGAAAGGGTCATAGATGCATCTGAATCCTGGTAATGTCTGAAGAAACCCACCCCCAAAACCAAGAAAACAGAAAATTTAGAAGGCAGCTATTCATTTGTAGAGAGAACAATAATCTAGACTTGGCTACAATCTATTAAAATTTGGCAGGACAAACTCAAAATAAGAAACCATATCTTCTTTTCTTAACTCCTTTGCTGCTCTGCTTAAAGCAGTGGAATGATGTTTAAGTAATGGTAACAAAGACAAAGGAGGATGGAAAGGCTTCCATACAAGGAGCAATTGAAAAGGCTTAGGTCTCTTCAGCTGGGCTGAGATGTTAGGCAGAAGAAGAAATATGACTGCAGTCTATAAAACAAGGAACAGTTTGAAAAAATTATATAGAGAAACAGTTCTCCTGTTTATCTAGGAGAATTAGGAAGCGCTCAGAAGAAAGATCTGGCAGCAGTTTTTAAAACTTTTTAAAAACAAAATTGATAATTAGTACATAATAGTACTTCTACAATTAAATGGATTTTGAAGCAACAGAAGAAAGGAAAATACCCCAAAATAAAATCGCTAAAAGAGTTTCTTGAACCACAGCGACAAATTCTTTCTGGGTTACCTGCTATCTTTCTCTCTGTGTTTGTCTTTGGATTTTTTCTTTTTCTTTGATTTCTTGTGTTTTTTCACCTTTTGCTCCTCTGAAGGCTCACGCTGCAGGGTCTTTTTGCGCTCCCTTTCTGCCTCACTGTCACTCTCGTCTCCAATAGGGCATCTTCTTTTTCTGTCCTTTACGTCCTCATATTTGAGGCAAGAAGTCTCAAAACTGGAAGTGTTTTCTCCCGCTGTAGGTGCACTTTTCTCTGAGGAATACTTTTCAGAATGCTGGGGGGGTGCTGGGCAATGGTGAAAGTCTCCTTTGGAGCTGCTGAAGTTGCGTTTCTCTCTCTCCTTAGTGGCTGGCTCATGAATCCATCGCGTCTTGTAGTAATAGTCCTTGTATGACCTAGGGTCATAAACGTGGCTTGGTTTCTCATACTCTCTGTCCACGTGAGAGAACTTTCTCTCTCGATTGTCTCTTGGCGCATGGAAAGGATAATAATCATAGTAATATCTACCTTTGTCCCACCTTCGTGGGATGTCTTGGTAATACCTCTCTCTATTCCAAGAGCCTTCTCTCTTCGGAAGGTAATACCAACCCCCGTCCTTATCATTTTGTTCTCTGCTGTGGGATCTGTAATCAGGATACCTTCCGGAGCTTCTGCTGCTTCTTTCATTATGCATGAGTTTGTATTTGCTCCCATTGTCATGGTGCTTCTTGTAGTGATGATCTTGCTTCCCCCTCTCACTGCTGTACGTTCGTCTCTTTCTGGAGTCACGACTGTCCAGTTTCTCCTCGTTTTCAGAGTGCCGTCTCTTTTTACAGTAGTGCTCCCTCTCCATCTTCTTGGTGGTGCAGACCTTTTCTTTACCTGGAGAATGTGTCTGAAGTTTTTGTCTTTCTGTGTCTTCTCCAAGTTTGTCATTATCGCTCAGTCCCTCATTTTCCTTAGAATAGCTCTCTAGAACCTTGCTCAGTTTTGTAGGAGAGTCCACAGCACTTTGTCCCTCTGGATAGTCACTAGTACTGTGCTTTGTTTCTTGGCATTTGTCTGTAATGTTTAAGGTAGAAAGCTTTTTGGAACTACATTCACTGTCAGACTTTATAAGGGAGCTTTGTCCCAGTTTCTCTACAGTCTCTGCAGGCCCTTTGACGTGCAGAGGAGCCTCCTTTAACATCACCTTTGCTTCTTTTGGTCCTCTTGCCTTATCCGCAGACTCCTCAAGAGCACGTTCCTCTTCAGTGCCCAAGGTTCTCTTCTTAGCTTTATGCTGATCAATGATGTCAGAATGATCCTCCTCCTTTCTCGCCACAGTATTCTCTACAATTCCTTCTTTGGTAGAAATGGTCTCAGGAGCTGATGCAGCAAAGGGACCCTGGCTGTTGCAGCAATCGTTGGGAATACTGTGATCGGTTTTTTCAGTTCCAGTTATACTGCACAAAGAGAGAAACATGTGACTTTTCAGCAGAAATAGACAATACTCTGTAAGATGCCTGCTACAAGTAAATAAATTGGGAAGGAGCTGACTGTTCCTGGAAGACATTCCATTTCTTTCCTCAGCTCCAGAGGAAGGCTCTTTTATATGCTGTCCATCTCTTCATTGCTGTCTTATAACTAGAGCCAAGTGTCCTCCCCCTTGCTTTTCCCCATGAAAATAAGAAATATCGTAGGGTAATATAGTGAGTTTCTTCCTTCCTCCCAAAATACAGGTGTCAAGAATTTACACTCACTCCTAACCAGAGAGTGCAGAACAACTGGAATTATTCTTAAACAGCTACTTTTCTCACTATGTATTAGTTTTGTATTTCATTCCATTGTCATGATGCTTCTCATACTGATGATTTTGCTTCCTCCTCTCATTGCTGTATGTTTATGTCTTTTTGGACTATCCAGTACAATATTTTATTCTGTACAATTCTACAGAATTCTACAATTCTACACAATTCTACAGAATTGTACAATTCTGTACAATATTCCTGCACTGACCTAAAACTTTTCATTTAAATAGTACCAATAATTAGATAAATTTAAAAAAATTGTATAAAATGACTATTATTTTACCTTATATCCTCTGATGAAGTTTTCACCTGGCTGAATTTGAATGATTCTAAGATTTTATCTTCAGGGACTGAAGGTAAAGTTGCACACATCTACAATTAAAAAGATATGTTAATATATAGAAAGAATAGTGATTGGATCACTTATAACATCTTAATCAAAGGATTCCAGAATACTTTACAATATTTAAACTGCTAGAAAAACTCTGTACTTAGATTATTGTTGGTGCAGCATCCCAAGGGCGCAAAGAGGCATTTTCTGCAACTGGTCTAGGTCTTACCTTAACCCACCTAGACCAGGAGTGGCACATGCAATAGTTTGCCGTTTGCTACTTTCAGGAGCTGCAAGGGGGGAGCCTGACAAAAGGAACTTGGGGTGTGGGAGAGGCGGGTGGGTGGGACTGGGAAGGATGTGGGTCTGTGGGGGCAAGGTGAAATTAGCACAGTTCTGGGGCTGCACTGTGGACATGCACAGGTGTTCAGGAGATTGGGTTAACCCAATCTTGATCTAGAGTTCATGCATCCACTCAGGTGCACCAATTTAGATCAGGCATGCCATTTTTTGTCCAAATTAAACCTCCGGAATGCCTGCACAATTGGGCATTAAATCAACCTCATTCTGGTTAGGCTGATCTAAATATAATGCCTGTACATACCCGACAATTCATTAACTCACAATTTAAAAAGTGAAATATGTCAGAATAATATACACTGGGAACTTCAGCAGAATTAAAGATGAGCAATATCAACGAAAAAATCCGCTTAAGATTCTGGTAAGAGTACTATTCATAGAAATAGACTCATTAACGGTCAAAAGTGGTTAGGATCTCTTAACAGAAAGACTGCACATCAGATAATACAATGACCCCGTACAAACTTTGGTACAACACTGACAGCACTTCAATTTTTTAAAGCTCCACATTAACATTAATGGTCATAAACTACTACAAGACCGTTTCAGGCTGGACATAAGGAAAAATGTCTTTACTGTCCGAGCCCCCAAGGTCTGGAACAGCCTGCCACCGGAGGTGGTTCAAGCACCTACATTGAACACCTTCAAGAGCAAACTGGATGCTTATCTTGCTGGGATCCTATGACCCCAGCTGACTTCCTGCCCTTTGGGCAGGGGGCTGGACTCAATGATCTTCTGAGGTCCCTTCCAGCCCTAATGTCTATGAAATCTATGAAACATTCATTTTTCTAACAAGTCATCTAGAACAATTGTAGTCTTAGAACAGATAATGATATTTATAATCTGCTTCAAAAAGAAATTCTAGCTCAAACAAACATAACTCACTTTTCCATGCAATCCATTCATTTTAGGAAAGAAAGTCTCTGTAGTTTTAAGAGCCTTGGTTTGGCAAGTGGAATCATCAAGTTTCAAATCATTGTCTTTAGAATTATTATCTAGACAAATAGCACCATTGACTTTGTCACCATTGACTCTGTCAGTTTTTGGCAGTTCATGCTGGGGTACCTCCTTTTCAGCATCTTGACAGGAAGAACAGGAATTCTGCAATGAACTAGCTACACTTCCAATCAAAATTCCATTTACAGGTTTCTTGTGTCCATTCTCCTTAACTAATGCCTTTGAATCTTCATCAGATTCTTCTGAAGATTCTGCACCATAAGGGACCAATGTGCTGGAGCTTAGCTTAGACTTGCCATTCAGTACTGCTTTAGAACAAGCTTCACTAGTAGCCAATTGTTTAGGTACTTTAGTAGCAACTGACATTGTAGAAGCACTTGAGGTAGACTGTACTGCAGAGGAATTAGTAATGGTGGATGAAGGAACAGGCTTGCTCAGACTCTCCAAAGAGCTGTTATGAAGATTGGGTTGGACCAGGCTTTGGCGAGCAGGCAGTTTGTTGTGAATACTGATAGTAATCTTCTGTTTTTTTGAAGGATCAGGAATAGTGGGTCGGTTAATTGTCCAGTTTTGAATGGAAGTTGAAGGAGGCGCCGAATTTGGCCTGGTTAGGGTAACGTTGCTAGCACATACCACAGAACTGCTTGGAGTTTCTTTTAGTGACCCAGTTCCATTTAAATGGCCAGAAGTCTGTAATTAAAAAGGATACATTTTATTGTGATTTCATGTAAATACACAAAGCTGACATCCCAAAACATAATAGTCTTGACTGATGTTTTTGGCATCTATATAAAATCTAGCTAAAGCAAAGGTGGGCAACCTATGGCCCGTGGCTGGATCCAGGGGCAAAAGTTCAGTCCAGTGGCCCAAGGTGGCACATGGGATTGGGCAGCTGTACTGAGCCACCCATCCCTGGGTTTATACTCACTTAAGAGAAGCAGGGTAAGTGCAGGCAGCTCAGCCCTCAGGACAGGGTGAAGATTTGCAGCCATGGTAGGGGGTAGTTAGCAAACTCCAGCCTGCTTCAGGAAAAGGTTGTTGACCCTGACCTAAAGTATTACCTTAATCAGGTGGGGAGGAAGCTGTGGTCCAATAAATCCTGATACGGTTTGCTTGCTATTAACTACCCGCTGACTAATAGCTGGACGGGGAGAAGACTGTCCTGGAATGGAATAAATGAGTTCTCCATTTTTCACATCAGAGGACCTGCAGAAGTGATAATATTTACTGAGATTTGTTCTTTGTGCCCAACACATCTAATTCATACAGTAGTTTATATGAAATACTACAGACCCCAACTAAGACGAATAAAATTAGGTAACAGACCTAAAATACCTTCTTACCCGATTAATAACTCAGTCTCCCAATTCTTCCCCTCCCCCAGATGATTATGTATAGCTGATTGAAGGGTTTTATCTGTACTAGATTCGCTTCACCCACCACTGAGTAGCCAGCTAGAGTGTGGCAGATAACATTAAACAATTTATACTAGCTCAACAGTTTAGGCTGAAGTGACTTAAAGCACCAGGACTTCAGGGACAACACTTCAGGCAGAAGAATAGGAAAAATGACAGGGACAGGAAAATAACTGAATTTTGAATAAATTTGAGTAATTATTATTACCTGATATAAAAAAGCATGTAAGCTTGCTGATTCAGGACAGTTCTGATATCAGTGATGGCTACAATGGAATCATTCATCTGGTACCACTGTGCATTACAGCTCTGAAAATAAAAGGCAATGACATTTTTTAGATTACTTACAACATATTTGCTAAAAAAAAAAAACCAAAACAAAACAAACCCCCCAAAACAATAGAGGTCACTGTTCAACTACAACAGAGCAAAAAGCACCCCATAATATAGCCTCATTCCTAAGATATTAGCGTACAATTATCTAAAGATATTAGTTACCACTGATAGTTGTTAGTGAATGTTTCTCTTCACCAGTGCAGATTTTATTCTAGAAAAGGAGCTGTTCTTAGAGGCAGTTAATTGTTTAGAGGATCTGCTGGCTAAAACACCACCCCTATAAGGATCCACAGAACTGTCTCAAACACAAGAGCAAGGGGAGATCAAATAAAATTGACAGTGAATTCACATACTGATAAAAGGATTTTGTTTAAAGCCCAACACAATCTGTAGAACTCATTGTCCTAACATACTGACACCAAGAGCTGACAATGATTCAGAGGAATAATGCTTTACCTAGATGAGAATACTCACAGATTAAAACATATTTATAAGGGGTCTAGATCTTACTTCAGATTACAAACCACCCCCTCACCAGAGAGATCAGAAAGAGACTGCCCCAAAGTCAAGCTGGTCTGCAGTTGGGTCCCTTTGTGAGTATCTTGCTAGCACCTAGTACTGGCTACTGTTAAAGATAGGATATTGGATTGAATAGGACATTGATTCAATAAGACATGGCAACCTCTATCTTCCTAGCAGTGTTCAACTCCAGAAAACCAACTCATGTTCAGTCATGTGACCTATCACATCATACTACAGGCAGTTGGCCAAAAAATGCTGCAACTTTATTGGTCCTGA